ATATTATTTCAGACGAAGCTCCGAATCCTCAGGAAACTTGAAATAATAACACCATCCTTATGGATGTTTGAACAAAATCCTGCGATAAGCTCCAACGTGAAGGCATTGTTTTTATTTAAAACGGTCAAAACTCTAAAAACTTCAAGGAACGTCCGTCCATCTGTCCGTTTTCTTCCATTACAAACTACTTTCTTAGTCAACAAAGCTGAAGGGACTGTTCTGGTGCAGACGTCACCTCCTGTTTCTTCCTCGGACACTAAGAGGCGCTGCAGTTCTCTTAAATCTGCCTTGTTTTTTGAAAACAATGACCTTTTGGTTTATAAAAAAAGATCACGATCATGTCATCGGCTCTTTAAATCAGGAAGCCTCAGGCGTCACTGATCATGGGACTTTTGTCAAACAAACCAAGCTTGCACACGGAGCGGGTGGAAACAGAGGTTTTGTTGATCCAGGCAGCAGAGCTCCAGCTTCTGACGGACCGTGGCTCCATCACTGTAGAGTCTTACCTATGTAGTAGATTGATCCGTTGTTGCAGCCCAGAATGAGGAAGGAGCCGGCCGTGTCGTAGCTGCTGATGGGAACCACATCCTGGTTCTGCAAGGGAACCACAGAAACCAGCTGAAACCGGACCAGAACCACACCATCCACAACTAGCAGAGAGGGAACCCTGAACCTCCTCTGCTCCGACCAGCATCCTCTACCCCCTCCATATCTCCTCAACTGAAACATTTCCCCCAGAGTCCACAGATCTCTGCTTTCCTGACCACACCTGCAGACTAATTAACCTGAGCTTGACTCCGCCCACCTGCCAGTGTTTGGTGACAGCGTTCCAAACCCCGACCTTCCCCGTGTGGCTGGTGGCGATCAGCTGGTTACCAACGAAGAAGAGAGCCTCTGCAGGGACGTTCAGGCTGAAGACCCCTGCAGGACACACAGAAACTGTTAGAGATTAAACAGGTTCAACAACCGGACCATCAGAGTCCAGGGTCAGGAGGGTCAGAGTCCAGAGTCAGGAGGGTCAGAGTCCAGAGTCAGGAGGGTCAGAGTCCAGAGTCAGGAGGGTCAGAGTCCAGAGTCAGGAGGGTCAGAGTCCAGAGTCAGGAGGGTCAGAGTCCAGAGTCAGGAGGGTCAGAGTCAGGAGGGTCAGAGTCAGAGTCAGGAGGGTCAGAGTCCAGAGTCAGGAGGGTCAGAGTCTAGAGTCAGGAGGGTCAGAGTCCAGAGTCAGGAGGGTCAGAGTCCAGAGTCAGAGTCAGGAGGGTCAGAGTCTAGAGTCAGAGTCAGGAGGGTCAGGGTCTAGAGTCAGGAGGGTCAGAGTCAGGAGGGTCAGAGTCTAGAGTCAAAGTCAGGAGGGTCAGAGTCAGAGTCAGAGTCAGGAGGGTCAGAGTCTAGAGTCAGAGTCAGGAGGGTCAGAGTCAGGAGGGTCAGAGTCTAGAGTCAGAGTCAGGGGGGTCAGAGTCCAGAGTCCAGAGTCAGGAGGGTCAGATTCCAGAGTCAGGAGGGTCAGAGTCCAGAGTCAGGAGGGTCAGAGTCCAGATTCAGAGTCAGGAGGGTCAGAGTCCAGAGTCAGAGTCAGGAGGGTCAGGGTCCAGAGTCAGGAGGGTCAGAGTCCAGAATCAGAGTCAGGAGGGTCAGAGTCCAGATCAGGAGGGTGAGAGTCCAGAGTCAGGAGGGTCAGAGTCAGGAGGGTCAGAGTCCAGAGTCAGGAGGGTCAGAGTCCAGAGTCAGGAGGGTCAGAGTCCAGAGTCAGGAGGGTCAGAGTCAGGAGGGTCAGAGTCAGAGTCAGGAGGGTCAGAGTCCAGAGTCAGGAGGGTCAGAGTCTAGAGTCAGAGTCAGGAGGGTCAGAGTCTAGAGTCAGAGTCAGGAGGGTCAGAGTCTAGAGTCAGGAGGGTCAGAGTCTAGAGTCAGGAGGGTCAGAGTCTAGAGTCAGAGTCAGGAGGGTCAGAGTCTAGAGTCAGGAGGGTCAGAGTCTAGAGTCAGAGTCAGGAGGGTCAGAGTCAGAGTCAGAGTCAGGAGGGTCAGAGTCTAGAGACAGAGTCAGGAGGGTCAGAGTCCAGAGTCAGAGTCAGGAGGGTCAGAAACCAGAGTCAGAGTCAGGAGGGTCAGAGTCAGGAGGGTCAGAGTCCAGAGTCAGAGTCAGGAGGGTCAGAAACCAGAGTCAGAGTCAGGAGGGTCAGAGTCAGGAGGGTCAGAGTCCAGAGTCAGAGTCAGGAGGGTCAGAAACCAGAGTCAGAGTCAGGAGGGTCAGAGTCAGGAGGGTCAGAGTCCAGAGTCAGAGTCAGGAGGGTCAGAAACCAGAGTCAGAGTCAGGAGGGTCAGAGTCAGGAGGGTCAGAGTCCAGAGTCAGAGTCAGGAGGGTCAGAAACCAGAGTCAGAGTCAGGAGGGTCAGAGTCAGGAGGGTCAGAGTCCAGAGTCAGAGTCAGGAGGGTCAGAAACCAGAGTCAGAGTCAGGAGGGTCAGAGTCAGGAGGGTCAGAGTCCAGAGTCAGAGTCAGGAGGGTCAGAAACCAGAGTCAGAGTCAGGAGGGTCAGAGTCAGGAGGGTCAGAGTCCAGAGTCAGAGTCAGGAGGGTCAGAAACCAGAGTCAGAGTCAGGAGGGTCAGAGTCAGGAGGGTCAGAGTCCAGAGTCAGAGTC